TTTATCACCTAACGCTAGAATATCTTTAAAATAGCCTTTGTGTAAATTCCTAGGCAAGCAAATTGCATAATCCTTGAGGTATAGAACTCTGTTGGACTTTTTTTTTCTTGGTCCTTTTGAGACAAAGCCTCACCCTAGTTCAGGCTGGCCTCGAACTCACACGATCCTTCTATCTCAGCTTCCCAAGTGCTGGGATTATAGGCGTGCACCACCACGCCCGGTTTACCGTCTCCTTTAAACCAAACCAAATTCTGCAGTTAACAAGTTGTTTTAACTTTTTAAAAAGATACTTGGATTTACTATTTTACCGTTCTCCTTTCTCACCACCTTTCTCTTGCAAATGGTCGTCTAAAAATGTTTCGAAACTTGAGTAGATCCGTTATGTTTATGTTCTAGTCCGGTCAAAACCCAAGGGGACTATTCTTTCTCTTGGATTGGACACGACCCAAGGCATCTGAGGTTGTTTTTCCCAGGAGGTTCCCAACCATGAACCCTGAGTTCAAACCTAATTTAGGAGCCCGCAAATAAAGAAGAAAGCAGCCCCACTCAGACTAACAGACGATTCGGCTCCAGGAGCGCACAGGAAAGCTTCTTTGTGGCGCAATACAGACAAAAGTTTCATTTCTTAAAGCTCTAGAGAATAAAAAAGCCTTTCCACAGAGTCACCGCCTCCACCAGCTGGAGCTGGGCAAAGACGGGGCGCCTTTTCATATCCCTCCCAGGAATCAATCTGGGGACTCCCGGAGACCAAAGCTGCTAAACCCACTCCTCTCCCCAAAACCTTCGAGCCAGGGTTCCCTCTTCAGTCGTCACAGCAATCCACGACCATCAAGCTCACCGCCCGTCCCAGTAGCTGCAGGCGCCGCGACGCCTCAACGCTCGCCCCCGGACGGCGCAATCGGAAGTGCGTCATAGCCCCGCCCACAGGAGTGGCTCTGGAGCCATATGGGCCCTTCTAGGAATTCGGGAGGTCTTGGAATCCTGTTTTAGGCCAATACCAGAAAAGCGATATGGCTTCTGAACCTGAACAGTCACGAACCTCTTCCGCTATCCCTGATTTTTATTTTACTTAATTTTTGGTTTTTTTTTACCCCTGCTTTTTATTTTACTGTTTTGGTGCCAGAGTTTGAACTCACGACCTCGCGTTAGCCAAGCCGGCACTTACTCCGCTGAAGCTAAACCCCCGGCACCCCAGCTTTTTAAAACCATGGACGCTTTTTAAAATCAAGGACGGCCCTTGCTTTACTAACATCCTAGTTAACTAAGGACTGGGGATGTTTCGGCAGTCCCCCCTGGCTCCCCATGGGGAGTCAAGAGCTGTGTGTGGTGACCTAGTGGACTTCAGGGTCCTATTCACGTGTGCACCCTCAGGCCTGTATTAGTGGCCAAGGAGCCCCACAGTTAGCCATTTGCATTCCTGACTCACAGTGGCATCAGTCTCAAATAGCTGTGTGTTTTGGGGGAACCTAAACTTCCCGGGCAGCCTGGGAACTGCGCTCCCCTCTAATGCCATAAGACATAGTAAGAGAGTTCACCTGTTTTTTCTCTTGCTGCTGGCGTTCAGCTGCTCAGTCCTGCTCCTGTGGCCTCTAATGAATTCGCTTTTGTCACATGCTGCCAAAGTCAACGCGTGTTGAGGGACAGCAGGATGCCTGCACGCAGAATTCCTTCTAAATGCACTATAACTATAAAAATGATTTCATTTTCCCTTGATATTTTCTATGGTCTTTTTAAAAATTTATTTTCAGAGACATACAAAGGTAGAGAACAACATAGTGAATTTCCATGTACCAACCTAGAAATCGGCCAACAATTGGTTAGTCTCATTTCTTTAATTTTTTTCGTATATTTCTCAGTCCCCACTGGATTATTTTGCAGGAAACTTGAGCTATAATTGCTATTTTCCTAGGGTTTTAAAATTAAGCCCAGTCTTTCTACATTGCTCAGATGTCTAGAATGGGTCTGTTGTGGAAGGCTGAGTGTTCTAAAGATAATGGTCTTCCAGAAATGAGCAAATGTAGACATGTGAGGCCTGAACATCTTGCTATTTACTCTGTGAGAACTTAAGGATTTTTTCCTTATCTTAGGTAACAGAAGACAAGGAAAGAACATGGGATAAAGCACTGTTAGTTTTCAATGCGTGTCAAGTGTTGTCTTTTGAGAAGTTTGTCTTGTGGGAAGCCAGAAGATAGAATGAGACCAGTGAATAGAAATGATGGAGACGTTTAAAAAAGGAAAATTTCTCAAAGTTAAAGTTGCTCTGCATCATTTTACACTATTTGAAGACTGGGAGACCACTGAAGACAGGGAGGATTGGAGTTTTGCAAAATGAATGGTTGGCCTAGACAGTGTCTCCCTCCTATAACTTGCCCCAGACTCCTGCTTTTCCCCTTATCCTCCTTTTTATAACTGTTCACAGCCATTCCCTCAGTATGTCTTCTTTAAGTACTTTATCATGGGCCAGGTTCTGTGTTAAACATTTTGTTATGGTTCCTTAGTGCGATGTAAAAATTATCTAAAAACTTAGTGGCTTAATATGGCAATCGCTCAACACTTTTCACAGCATCTCCCAAAGCTATGGGTTGGCTGGGCTATTCTGCTTCCCATGGGGTCAACTGAAGAGCTGGGATGATTGCCAGGTGGTGCTGGCCTGTAGCCATCCCGATCAAGTAGGATGCTGGCCTGGAGCCTCAGATCTCCTTCACATCAGTCTTTCAGCATGGCTGTCTGGGCTTCTTTGTGCCATGACACCTGTGGAACTTGTACATGTTCTAAGACCCAGCCTTGGAGGTTTCATAGCATAATTTTTTACCACTTTTGGAAGATTGCAAGTTCAAGTCCAGCTCAGGCAATGTAGCCACTTAGACTCTGTCTCAAAATGAAAAAAAAAAAAATGGGGGGGGGTGGGAATGAGCAAGGGCTGTAGCTCAGTAAGACTTGAATTTATTGAAATGATCATGTCTGGGCTTTTCTACTTTCTCTACATTATTTCCATGCTCTCCTGCCTTGGGAGATTATTTAGCTTGACAAAAGGAGAATTACTGTGACTTTCTCAGCAGAAATCTAGAAGGGGAAAAGTTATCAGTGATTTACTGTCATCACTAGCTTCCTCCATCCTTTTTCCAGCAAGATAGGTTTTCCTCTAAAATGGTTCCTAATGGTCTGCCTCCTTGCTCATTTATTTTTGCTGCTATAAGCATGTTTGGCCAGTAGGGGGAGATCAAGGCTTGATTTCTCAGAGCACTGCAGGAAGAAGCTTACTGCTGCTCATTACAAAAAAAAAAAATAACAAAAAAACACTTCCCTTTTTCTTCCCAGATGGAGTTTGTTGGTGCAATACATTGTAGAACTGCAAAGACATTTGCTACAGAAAATGAAGAGAGTAAAACTGAAGTGGCAAAGGTAAACAACTGTTAAAGAAAAAGATCTGATCAGTGTAGGAATCACTGCAATGGGATATTTGCAGTAGGGGGCAAAGAGATTGGGCTGAACACCAAAGACAACACAGCCAAGTAGGAATTTATAGATAAGGGTCATGGTGTGGGTCAGGAGGTAGGAAATTACTAAGAAGAAACATCAGGGGTAAGATTCTGGTTAAATCAACCTTGTAGGATTCTTGATGAAGACAGGCCAAGGTGATCAGATACCACCTGAGGGGTTTTGGAGGGTGAGAAACCAAATCAGATTATTAGTTAGTGATCAGATATGTAGAGGGCGGAGGTCTTGCTAAAGTGCTGAGGGGTTCATTGCTATAACTGAACTTTGTAAGAAGTACATTGATGAGCCTAGAAGGTTCAGGAACCTTCACCCCAGCCCTTCCCTGCAGTACCATGAGTAGGGTACTAAGAAAAGCATTTTCTCAAGTTTTGTGAGCCATTCTAGCATGTTGTGCAACCTGTAGGGGGCAGTTGTGGAAAGTCCTGATTTACAGCTGCTCACAAGTACAAGTGGCGGGCTGGGGATTTAGCTCAGTGGAATAAGCGCTTGCCTTGCAACCAGGCAGTTGTGAGTTCGATCACTGGTACCGATTAAAAAAACAAAACAAAACAAAAACAAAAACAAAAAACTATGTAAGTGACAAGTGAAAACTTGCAGCTGGCCTCTGAAATGGGGAGTGTTGTGGAACTGAGCCTCTTTCTGTGGGGTTGTGCTAATACATGTGGTGTTACAACTTAATGGAACATTCAGTTGATACAGTTTGGAGAACTGATGGGTGTGGGGGAAATCCCACACACTTGGTGTCAGAACTGCTGTGAATACAGTCCACACATATGCTTTGGGCCCTAGCAGACCCTGCCTTGCATCCCCTCCGCTCACCGTTCACTCAAGCTACTAGTGAGCAGCCGTGGTCAGTGGCACCCAGCTATTCTTCATGGCCTCTGTGTGCAGGCCTAGAATGGCAAGGAAGTTAGTGCTCAGTTCAGCAACGCTAGAATAAATGCTCCCCACTTCAGTTCCCAGAGCAAACTGAACATTTTATCAAGGAAGGGACTGGGGCCTCAATTTTTTACAAGTGACTAAGTTCAGTGATAGATGTACTGATTTCTTCCTTATCTCTCATTTTCTGTCCTCTGGAATCATTACCTAAAATCAACCATCAGCCCCTCCTACTCTCTAGGGACCTCAGCTAACGTACACAGGGCCCACGTCCCTCAAACGAGCACTTGGTTGTGAAGATACCAAGGTAATAAAATAAAACTCTCCCCTACCAATGTGCTATCTTTTATTTCACTTTCTTGAAACAAGGCAAGGCAGCAATACTCCAATCTTAAAGGTACTGAAACCAAAGCCTAGAGGAAACCAGAGCACTTCCACCTGTACTTCAAGGTTTAGAAGTAAGAGTGAATAACCCATCATTTAGATGAGACAAATACAATTGAGTGGTATGTGAAAATTTTGTGGGCTGCAGCTCCACTTTTTAACTTTCAAGGTATACTTTTTTCTTTTCTCAAAACCTATGCATTTATGTAGGCAAGGATGACAAAAACCAAACACAAACATTGCCACTTAAGAGATGATAATTTATTGTTGTACCATGACCCAGAAGAGAAACAACATAAAGAGACTATTACAATCTCCACAACTTCCTTCCCCAGTTTCACTATTCTATTGTTTGTCAGACATCACGGGCTTCCTAAAATGGACCACTGACTACAAATTTTGTTGTGCTGCCATCTCTCTATTGAAACATTAGCTCTTGATCAAGGTTTCAATTTTAGTGCAGTTTCTCTAGCTTTAAAAATAAACACTTTTGTCTAAGATTCCAAAATTTAGTGAAAGCTTTTCTAGAAATGTTGAGGATTTTCAGCAAATTCAATCTAGAAATCATTTACTGACCATCTACGAAGCATCTGGACTCTTCAGAAACTAGTAAAATGAAAAGTTAACAGCAATAACTCAATTGGGCAGGTATATAAAGACAAGTTAAGATTCTTCTTTTGGTCTGATTTATCCTAAAAACAGCTGGGAACTGACAAAAAAAGGACAGGTTGTTTTAACTAGTCTAAAAATTGAACAAGACAATGCCTGAGTTAGCTCTATATATAGATTTAGGCTTATCATGTTGACCTGGTTGTAATAATCTATATTTAACTAAAAGTTTAATAAAAATACATATGCTCATCTTAAAATAATTACTGATTTTGTTTGCATAAGCCACCCCTTATCCCTCCACTCATGTATTTTTAGGACATGATTTTTCTGCATAAGCACAATCTGTTTCCTCCCACCCACCCACCTCATATATGTGACCAAATAAGTCCTGCTATGAGCAGAAGCATCTCTAAGTCTAACATGCTTTGTCCTTGTGAGGGCAGGCTAGAAACTTCAAGCTGCAGCTGAATGCTGTCACTTGGCTGAGGTGAAGAGGAAGGCAGGCAAACAATCACTAACCCAACTCATCCATAAGTTTTTCTCCCTGTTCTAGCCTCATTGTGCTTCCTTGGGCGACGATACGGTGTGTGTGTATGGTGTCATTAACTCTGCCCCTTTCTCCTTCCTGTTGCACCTGATAGGAGACAACAGGATGCTGACTCAAGGTACCTGCAGCTGCCTGGCCCCTTTCCTGGACACCAAAGGAATTTAATACCCAAATGTGAAACCGGAACAAAACTCAAGTTTCAGTCCCACCCCTTTCACTCACACAAATCTCATTCTTTGTTATCTTCAAGCACTGAGCCTCACTGCTTAATGAGTGCTTGCTAAAGGGAGAAATTTTAATTTTTAAGACCGATTAACTTTTCTGATTATGTATAACTTCAAATGAGTCATGATTCTTTTAGTAAATGGAGGCATGAAAATTTCCAAGAATAAAAACAAAATGTTACAATCAGCGAAGACTGTGGCTTAGAAATCACCTCATGCCCTTTTCTCCTTCCTACTGTTTAGGGTGACAGAGAAAGACAGGGAATTGGTGGTACCGCCTAGTAAACAGAACCACACAGTACAAAACTAAGTTCTTTATTTTTTTGGTACCTGGGATCCAACGCATGACCTCATGCTTGCCAGGCAGGCGCTTATGCTGCTGAGCTAAATCCTGGGCCCCAAAACTAAATTCTTATGTTAAGATGTTCTGTTGATGGGATGTCAAAAGTATTTCCCCAACTTTTGTTTGACCTGCAGAATTGGAGATGGCTTACCTCCTTATAACTTCAAGTTTGTTTTACAAAGTTTTGAAAAGTAAAAACAGATAATTTTCAGATATAATAAAAAATCTGGATAGCAAAATAAGTAACTGCTTTTAAATGTACAGTAGTGTGCCTAAAACAAAACCTAAATCTACATTAGGAAAACTTTCCAAATAATGCTTTTTATTAAATTCTCCAGTAGTAGCTGAAATAAACATCTACTCTACCCCTATGAAATGACCTATTTATACCATTTAATTTCTTTTCTGATTTTATATTTCACTTACTCTGTAGACCTTCAATTGGTTTCCCGAATGAAAACCTCAGCTCCCTCAAGTATTTCTGAGATTGCTCAAGAGGGATGCACAAAACAGGGCTCCTTAGGCCAGGGATATAGCTCAGCAGCACAGCACCTACCTAGCAAGCGTGAGGTCCTGAGTTCAATTCCTGGTACCAAAACAACAACAAAACACAAACAGGGCTCCTCTGGCAAGCATTACTGTCACTGATTACATTTCAACACTGGTACTCCAGTTCACACCATCAGTCTCCCATGAGGATGGCAGGATGAACCTGGTGAGTTGGTTTTTAAGTAGACCAGCAAGCCTATCTGGAACAAAGGTGATCTAGGATTAAAAGGGATAAAGTCTTCCACAACTAGGACTCTTCAAAAACTCTCCCCCACTAATAATCATACACTAGAGAAAGCAAGCAGGTGCAGGGAAGGTACACAGGAGCACAGCCATACAATCTGTTTCTCCAGCCTCATGACAAGTCTTACAGTATCATACTGGATGCATCCAGCCCTATATCCTGGGAAACAACCCCCATCTTGGTGTTTTCCTTTTTTTGTTTTAATCTTTTTGAGACAGGATCTCTCTATGTAGTTCAGGCTGGCCTTGAGCTCATTTTATAGCTTAGGCTGGTCTTGACCTCTCAATGATCCTCCTGCCTCAGCCTCCTGAGTGCTGGGATTACAGGCGTGAGCTACCACACCTGACTCTATCTGAAGTTTTACAAGTGTAAAGATTGTAGTTTACAGGACCTGGTCGGGTTAAGTGGTCCCACTGGCCATCCCAGTACACTTTCTAACTCTCCAATCATGGAGAAAACCCTCTTCCCCTGGCAAGCTCACTGAGTCCATGCATCCCTTTGGTTCACAATGGTGACCTGGCAGCTCAGAGGTCAACTTAGCTGTTCCACTTTAGTGCCCTATTAACACGTGAATCTCCACAAGTTTATTGATCTCTCAATTCAAGAAGCATCAAACCAATGAAGTTTTTTGTCCTTGGATTTTTTCCTATCCTCAGTTCTGTGAATTAACTATCACCATATCACTATCTTCACTATTCACTCCAAAACTTCATTTCTTGGAGCGATGTGTTCTGTCAAATAGATTAAAATAAAATACATAATCTGTTTTTGGGGAATATACAGAATAACGGGTTTTCAAGGTACAAAACACACCAACATTATGGTCATACAAAATATATGGAAGTATCCAACATTAACAATTTTTGTATGAAGTTGTACATTTTGCTATTTCTTTAGCATTTCCCCACATGTTCTCCTGTGAGTTCTTTGTAGCTAAGACTGAGCTCCCTCTGCAGTGTTTCTGAAATTATCCAATGACTGGAACATACTGAAGGAATTCATCTCTGTCCCAAGCAATGAGTGCTATGCACGAAAGTTTTCTTCACATACAATATTAATAAGCTTTATTTACAGTGGAAGCTTTCTGTTGTTAAGGGCTGAAATGTGATTAAAGGCTTTGCCATATTTATCACATTCAAGAGGTTCCTTTTGGAAATCAATTCTCTGATGTAAGATGTGAATTGTCCCACACATCAAACACATCACTCTCCACACACATTTAGCAGTTTCACTTCTATGCCTTTAGTATTAAGTGCTGTACACACCAACATGTCTCATACATCTATAGTCTCAGGTTTAGCCTTGCCTGCCAGGCTGGATTAGAAACAAATACCTTATAGACTGAAGAATTTTATTTCTCTTCCTGGCAAGGTGAAGGTGTTAGTTTTAAAAACTTTTCAAAAAGTTCCATTAGGTCAACTAGCATGCTAATGGTTAACTACAAGAGTACTTCAACTGTTAACAGATGTCAGCCAGTCACAACTTTTGAACTATCCTGAGCACTAATTAGAGGTGTTGCCGGTGTTTCTGGTCCAATGACACTTCACAACAAGTATTTGATACATCCACGGTTTTAAAAACCAGTTGCAGCCTGTTTTCCTCAGAAAACACATCTTCAAATAGCTGCCTCCAGCAGTGCATCTGCCGAAGATCTGAAGCAACCCCAGCAGCTATCTAGCAAAGTCAGTTAGATATCCCAATAAAACGGGAACCTAACGCCAGGGCATTGGTCATATTTAAATTTCATTTAAAACCAAACCCTACAATGTCAGCATGTAGTTGTGGCATTAAAAAAAGAAAAGAAAAAGCCAATGTTGAACTGACTGTCTTTTCCTTCTTATAAACAAAGTCAATGCTTGGATGAGTGCCCAGAGTTGTATATTTCACCTCTATGCCTTTTTTCCTAGCGGGCAAAGATCTCAAAGCACCAGCAATTTTCTACGCAACTGTCACTGTGGCTCACTGTTAGAGGAAAATTCTCAAAACATTTCTACCTCCATTTCACTACAGAAAGTCAATGAGGTATACTCTTCTGGAATACCTCTTCTTTTTTTCTTAAATTGGGTAAGTATTCTGGTAACTGACTAACCTGCTATGTGGCTTTTCCAGGAAAAACTGAAGAAAATGCCATAGGGGAAGTTGTGGTTGGTCCAAGCAATGAGGCCAAAAATTGATTGCTGTATAGAAGTTTAGTTTAGTCTGGGGCTGAGGCCTTATGTCTCTGCCTCATTTGTTCAGCCATGATATTTCATGGACTTTAATTGTTGGTCAGAAGGACTGATGAACAATGGTTTTTACTCTGTTTCTTTAGAGAAAAATCTCAAACTGTATGTGGGATTTTCCCATTATATGGTGATTATACTGTCAGTGTTCAGGTTTGCTTTATAGTCCAGGTTTTTGCAGGGCTGACCACAGCCATTTGAATGCTCTCATGAACACAGCCAGTTCCATCTCAAGCCCTTGAGACCTACAGAACTTGCAACACTTGGTTTGTCTCCCATACATGTGACACTGTCTTCATCAACATCTATGGGGCCATCTGTGTCTTCCTGCAGATGATGGGAGAGGTTAGGGTTCCATAACCTCACCTTGGTCTTGAGAAATGAGAAACAAAAAACATTGTGCACTGTTACTGTGAAACAATTAACCACATCTTAGTACAATGGTGAACTTCTCAGAGCAACAACATACCTGTAGTAATTGCCAGCTAATGATAACAAATGCTGTAACAGTTTCTGGAAAGTGTGGAAAATATGTTCCATTTTCCTTTTTCTGAAAAGCAATAAAAATCACCGCTTCTGAGCTGTATTATTACCCAAGTTACAAATGATTCAAAAAGGGCCCACCATCATCACACTGAAGTGACTGAAGTGAATTCTGGCTAGTAGCTCTGCCACGGAGAGATGTCAAAAAATAACTAGTCAGTATTATAACCTCCTTAAGATGCTGACAACAGAGTCATTTCTAGCATTTTGTTGTGTTTATTTCTGATCCATGTTTAGAAAAATCTATGCAAGCGGTTAGCCAGTTCCTTTTGTTTGTATTTAGGACATGAATACCCAGAGGTTTTAGTATACCTCCTCTTACTGAACCTGAAGGTCCTCTTTCAATTGGGCCAGGCTACTATATTTCAGAAACCCGTGATTCACAAGGCTTTCTCATAAATATTAAAGTTCTACTAGAAGTCAGTCACAAGGAGTGTCTCTTATGTGTCCAGCACCATGTGTGGTGCTGTGTTGGTAGAACATCAAACTACATCCCTCAAGAACAGAAACATCTCTTTTGGCGGGGCAGGCGCGATAAAAAATCTCACACACAAAACAAAGATTAAAAGATAGTATAAAATTAAGTGCTAACTTGTGGAGAAATGCCTTTAGGAGTGCTAGAGTGCTTCAGAAACTTCAAAAAGGGGGACAAGTGTTATGACTCATTGCTATTTCAGTAGAACTGATCTCAGTGATGAGGATAGAACCATCTACATTTGTTGAAGTCCTTTGGAACTGTAGACTGGTGCACATACCCTCTCAGAAAGAGATAGAAATCTTTGGTTTGATACTGATCAGTATAGTCCTAGATTTCTATAGCTTTGGTAGGCTACCAGTAATCAGATACACGTAACGTACGGGACATGTAACTAGCTGGAGGAGCATGTCCCAATGTAGTATTTGTTTTAACTGTCTTTCTTGCAAGAAATAAACAAGATGTTGGCCAAGTAGGGCTCGTTTGCAGCAAGTGGCTTCTTAACCTCAATTGTCACATTCACAGAGCAAGTGTGATCTTTGAATTACGTGCCATGGTTGCTATGAGTCCAATAGTGCCTTAAAGGTATCCTCATTACTGAAAAGCTTGTTATCTTTCTATGTATGTGCTTTCATTTTGTGTGGAACAGCATGTGGATTATTTGTCTGACCAGCTTTTCCCTGCAGGGGCTGCATGGAAGAATCACATGCCCAAAGGCAGAATACTGCTGATGTAACTCTAAGGATCCTTGAGTGTGATTTAAAAAAAAAAAAAAAATCTATTGAGGCCTTTTTTTCCCTCCATGGGCACACATCTTTGAAATAATTTTAGGAACAAAGCAGGAAAAGGGTTGATAACAAATTCCTATTTTACACACAGCCTTTCAGGAATGCCCCAAATGCATCCAGGGAGGCTGGACTATACTCTGAGGCTCGCTCTCTAGCATGGATTCTGTGATGCAGTGTGAGGGTTGAGCTCCGGGTGAAGGCCTTGCCACACTTAGTACACTTGTAAGGTTTTTCTCGAGTGTGAATTCTCCGATGCAAAATAAGGTATGAGTTTCGGTTGAATGCTTTTCCACATTCACTACATTCATAGGGTTTCTCCCCTGTGTGGATTCTCTGATGCTTGGTGAGGTCTGAGCTCTGGCTGAAGGCCTTCCCACATTCATTACATTCATAGGGCTTCTCTCCAGAGTGGATGCGCTGGTGCAGAATGAGATTTGAGCTATGACTGAAGGCTTTGCCACACTCATTACATTCATGAGGTTTCTCCCCTGTGTGGATTCGCTGATGTAGGACGAGATTTGAGTTGAGACTGAAGGCTTTCCCACACTCATTACATTCATAGGGCTTTTCTCCAGTGTGGATTATTTTATGGCGAATAAGGCTTGAGCTTCTTGTAAAGCATTTACCACATTCATCACATCTGTGAGACTTTGCTCCTGGTGGAACCTCTTCAGGGGTATTATTAAAGTTTGAACTCAGACTGAAGCTTCTTCCCAAGCCTTTGCCCTTCTCTCTTGGAGCTCTCTCTCCTGGGGTGGTTTTTTTCTCCTTGGCTGTAGCTGGCCCTGACTCTCTCTTCTCCTTTCCAGTTTTCTCTTCAGGGTTTCTTTGTTGCCTTTCTACTCTTCTGCCTGGCTGTTCACGTTTCTCTCCTAAATCTTTCTGGAATCTTCCTGCTGTTTTCCCATGGGATGCTGAGTCCTCTGTGTCTTTAGCCTTTGAGGTTGACTCCTCGTTCTCACTCTTATTTTCACGACCTGACATAAGAGAATACAAATAGCACCCTTTTCCTTTTGCAAATATGGGTTAATCAAGTGATATTATTTTTCCAGGGATTTGCTATGCTTGCAAAATATCCTCACAGTATTAACTGAAAATAAAAGAGGAGTAGACAAAGGAAAAACTGAAAAAACAAGGAACAGAGTTGGAATGTGAGAGAGATTGGGTAGAGTGGGAAAGAGGAAGGAACAACAGAGGATGTGTGGAGAGAAAGTATGAATAATCGGGCATGGTGGGAAATCAGGAGGGAAAACACTAGTTAAGGACGGGATTTAAAAGGATGTCAGAGGTCATAATTCTGTTATTTGATCATTAAAAGATTATATATTTTAAAAGACATGTTCTATTTTCATCAAGTATTTAAATACTTTTAAAGAAGAGAACAGGCAACAGACAGGTCCTTGCTAGAAAATAGTGGTATTAGAAAAACAGGAATGCAGTTTCAGAAAGATAAACACTCCTCCAGTTCTGTTAGTGTTTTTTCAACAAGGTGATGATTAACAGGTGAAACAAGCAGCTCTGAATGTGGTAAGTTAGGGAGACCTTCAGACACAGGAAACAATTTCCCGCCACCAGGGCGAGCAGCATGAAACTGTGTTCAAGTAACAGAGATGGGGTGAAGGTGCCCGTGGGGCAATTCACTAGCCACAGAATGAAGCCTACTAACCAAGAAGAGAATTCTCAGAAGATAACAGAAGAGAAACTTAAACCACTCTGGAGACAGTCCACAAAAGACAGGAGAACAGTGACTGCAAATAGAGAGCTAATCCCTTGATTTAGCAACATAGTAAAATACATGAGTTTAGTTTTTATTATACATTGCTATATTCTGTGTGTCACTTTAAAGTGGGACTGAAAATTGCTTGAGGTACACAATTTGCATTTGACTATGAAAAAGACCTGAAGTATCTCTACTCTGTTCTTTATTTTCTTGGCCTGAAGACACCTTTCCAAGAAGGTCTGTGTGATCCCAACTGGTTCCTGGATGTAATGACCTAAAAGCTGAAAAATATCCAACCCTCTATTAGTGATGAAATCACCATAAATATTGATCAGTTGTAAGGAAAACTGATTCACTTGTTTTGAATTCTAATTCAAGACTCTTGACTATCTGTACAGTTTCCAGTTTTTTTCCTATTATCAGTTCATAAAGATTAGCTATTTGACCTAATTGATTCTAGCAGTAGTATCTATAAACTGCATGCTGTATTTATACCTATGGGTCCCCCCCCCCCAAGAAAGGGTCCTGCTATGTAGTTCAGGCTAGCTTTGAACTCACTATGTAGCCCCGGCTGGCTTTGAACCTGTGCAATCCTCCTGCCTCAGTCCCCCAAGTGTGTCACCACATTGGCTTATACATCTGGTTCTAAATAAACCTGAATTTCTTAGGTAATACTCTGTGCACACCTACCATTCCCCTCACCACATGCAGTCTTCCTGTGGACTCCCTGGCACTGTACATATCTGTGGACCTCTTGGCAGCACTGTCTCCTAGAGGGTAAGCTCTAACACAGACCCATGCAAATGGCTGCCAGCTGGGGCACCTTGTCTTATCTGGCTGCTGTCTCTTGCATGTCTTTGTTTTTACTATACAATCAAGTCCCAGAGTTCTTTGTGAAGATCATTGTGCGTTTTGTGAACTGGGAACCTGATCCTAAGGGAGGTCAAGATGCAAGTTCACGGGGTCACACAAAGCAGTCTCGGGGCAGTGTTGACAGCAGCTGGGAGAAGTCAGACTTCCGAGAAATGATGCTGAGCAGGCTCGAGAATGTGGTGCCAGGACAACAGGGTGGGATTAGACTGATGGTCAGTTCCTGGAAATCTCTACTAATAAAAGAATTTTCTCCTGACTGCAGCATCCACAGTGGAACATGCTAAGGGGAATGAAGCTGAGTCCTCCCAGGTAACTAAGCAACTGAAGAGGTGACTCTCAGAGCACACTAATTTACTTCTGATTTCAAAGGTAAAAACTACCTTTACCTAAAAGTAAATAAGAACAAAACAAAACAATCCACAGTGGTAACAAAAACCCCCATCAAGAATCAAGGAGTCATGGGGGCTGGGGATTTAGCTCAGTGGCCTAAGTACCTGCCTGGCAAGCATGAGATTGTGAGTTTAATCCCGGGATCAAAAAATAAAAAATAAAAACAGAATCAAGGAGTCACAGTTCAGTGAACACAAATGTTCTTCCTCTGTTTTGAAGAAAGGGGTATGGTAGCCTTTTAATACTTATCAACTGAATACATCAGAGGTCCCACTGCACAATCCCGCATCTCTCTTACCCTGTGAAAAAACGTTCCCATAATTCTCCTGCCTGCTGTCCCTGCTGAGATTCCTTCGAGCCAGGTTCTGACATCCCCATTCCTCCAGGATGAGGGACACAGCCATGTCCTCGATCTTCACCATTGCCTGAAATAACAGGAGAGTTCCCACACTTAGTTCCCCTAGACCCAGGGACAGTCCCTCATCCAAACCTGGAGTCAGGGACAGTGTTGCTGCACAGCCACAGGATGCTGAGGATGATGTGACAGAATCTGGTAAATGGAGAGGTCTGTGGTAGGAAGATCTATGGGAGAGGAAATGGGCCTCTGGGAGTGGGGCACAGAAAGTGAGTGGCCTGGTGGAGGCTTTGACAGGAGTTCCAGAGGGGACAAACATGGGCACTCAGGAGGGCACAGGGTGCACAGCTCACCTGAGAATCTGCGGTCAGTAGGGCAGATGCCATCGCCTGGTCTCTGGGACTCCCATCATGAGGAGGGGCAGGAATGTGGGTGGCAGGGACTGCTGATGGAGGAGAAAGGAGCTGTGAGTAAATCACTCTGCTCTGAGCTTCCCTCAAAGAAGGGCCGGGGGTACTCTCCTTGCTGCACCAGCTCATTCACTGTTCTATGTTTAACTACTGGAGAGAGAGAGCTATAGAGGACACAGAGGAGATAGCAGGACCTCCACGCTTTCCCTACAATCTCTACTCATAAGCAAAAGCCCCAAGGAACCACAAAATGGTCTTTAAAATCAAGGGGTCCAACCCCTTCACTTCATAAAAAGGGACCTTATAACCCTGAGAAGCTAAAAGATTTGTCTAATGTCATTCAGAAATGGCAGAGCCAGGTCTAGAACCCAGGTTCCTATTTTCAGCAACAGAATGGGCAAATTAGCCTGTACTTCTGGCTCCTATGTTCTCCAGGTCAAGCATTTGCACTTATACCTGTGAAAAATGTCACACAGTTCTAAATCAGAAAGTTGGATAGGAAGGATATCTTTTTACCTGTAAATAAGTATCTGCCATGGCAGGGCGGGGGGCGGGGGGTGTTACTGAGGATTGAACGCAGGGCTTTATCACTGAGCTTCAACCCTGATCCTTTTTCATTTTGAGACCAGGTCTTGGTAAATTACCCAGGCTGGGCTCAAACTTGCAAACCTCTTGCCTCAGTCTCCCAGAGAGCTAGAATAACACACCTGGGCTAGTTTTTGCCATTTTTGTTCCTCTACTTTTCACCCTTACTTGGCTACAGTAAACATTTTTGATAAAATGTATACATGATTGAAATACTGATGAAACATTTACAAATATATAGAGATATGAACAGACATATAAGACCTCCATAATACATCATATGATCACATCAATTGTAGCATGTAAGAACTGGAAAAATTTTAACCCGCAAAATTAACAGTAGTACTTTCTTCCCTTGCCAAGATTATTAGAGTGGAAGTGTTACGGTAAACAGATGATGGTATAGAATGGTATAAAAGCGCAATGGTGTTAGAGAAATGATTCTGAAACTGAATTACAAAACTTGTAGCTATCTCCACCTGTACAATAAGCTCAGTTATTCTCGTGTCCCTTCATGACAGCCCACTCTATGCTTTAGAGCCACGATGGCAAACCTTGTAGACACAAGTGCCCAAACTGCAACCCAAAACCCACTTATTCACTGCAAAGTGCCCACACTGCAGTTAAACCTCAACACTGAGACTTTAGTTTAGAAAACGTAGCTCATACATTAACATGTTTCATCTTAAAAGAAAAACAACACATGTGCCATAAGTTTGCCACCACTACTTTAGGGTACCACTTTTTCTCTCCTTTTTACTTGGCCCAAGCTCACTGTGCAAGTCCACTGGTTTTGTTTTCCCCTACCCTTAACAAATGTGAAATTTTGCTACTGTTAAAACAAACAAACAAGCCAAGAAAAACAAAAACAAATAGATGGGCTAAAATAAAATGCAGAAAAAGATCAAGTAGCTAGCCCTTAAACCTGAGAGGCAACACTAGAGGATGAAGGGGACAACAAATAAATTGAGAACAACTCTATGCATACATAGGGTCTCTAAAACTATTTCTCTGGCAAGCCAAAGCACTAATCTGGTGCACAGACCATAAATATCCTATTTCTTAATGCCATCCTCTCTGATTTCTGCTTGTGCAGCATGGAGAGACCTTGTAAGCCTTCAAAGGACAACAACCATGGTGGGGTTAAATATCACCATCTGTAGGTTTCCCTGCATGTCTCTGGCATCTACCTCCAGGATGTCCTCCAAAATTCATGAAAATGCTCCCATAGGTGCTATGATCTAATATTCCTAACAAAAGTTACCACAAATAAACACCCTGGTAAAGGAACCTGCCTTGATCAACTTTTCTTGAGCTATAATTTCTTTTTTTTTGAAATAGTGTCTTGCTATGTAGTCTAGGCTGGCCTCAAACTTGTGGCAATCCTCCTGCCTCAGTCTTCCAACTGCTGGGATTATAGGCTTGTATCACCACACTCAGCTGAACAACTGTATTTTTGACATTTCATGGTTTTTACTGATATTCTATCCACTTATTCTCACAAAAATATATATATTTCCCCCAAGGGGAAAAAACCCAATGAAATGGATATTTATTTATATACCCCTACATTGATACATTTCTCATTTCCTCAAAAATGGCCCCCTCAAAACAAACACTATTTTTGCATTCCTTTCTTCTAATATTTTTGACAGTAACTTAGAAAACAGCAATGTTAAATGGTATTTTTTATACATTTTAAATAAAATTAATCTTTAAAAACATTTATGGTCCTTTGAAAGATAATTCTGACATATTATACTCTTTTAAAACACAGGCTGGAAATAATATATCATCTGCTCCCTATACTCTCCTGTCAGAAGTCTACTAAACATCTGAAACACTAATAGTTCAATAATGTTTACCAAATTCATTACTCACAGTACACTTACCTTCTTAGTATTATTATTTAACTCCTGCGACTGAACTAAATTGTATTTGGGTAATATTAGTAACAACGATCATTATGAAAAATAAAAATAAGCATGCCTTTAAATCTCAGGCATTGAGCAACATGGACAGGGCATTCCCATCCTGGGTATTTCACTTCTTTTTCCCACATGAAACCTACTTCTTACCTCGGGATTGCAAGAGGCGGGGTTTCTGAGATGAATGCTTGAAATGTGACTGGGTGGCCTCATGGTGAAGGTCAAAGCTTGAAGACTCTTGTACTGGATCCAGAGGTACCATCCCCCTGGCAAGCATCTCAGGCCCATGAACTTGACCTGGGACCTGAGGACAATCAGGCTGGGCTTGTAGATAAATCATTTTTAAAACAGGAATTAAAATATTAAAAGATATGCCAGTGGATGGAGGCAGTCAGAACACTTGGGGGGAGTACCTTGAGCCTGAGGCCTTGTAAATGCTAAGTCCACACTCTATACTGAGCTACCCCCACCCCCAGAAGAAGAGAGTACCACAAGGATTCCTAACACTAGCTCTAAATCAGTGCCTTTCTCCTATCCCCAAAGTCTGTGGCTTCTCACACATGAACTTTGCCTCTTTTTACCTGCTGTCCTGACAGATCAAGCTCTAAGTCTTCCAGGAGAGTCACAGCCTCCTCTCCGCTATCGGGCCGGTACTCCTGTAGCCAGACTTGGAGCTGTTTGGGCAGAATGGAAAGGAACTGCTCCAGCACCAGCAGCTCCAGGATCTGCTCCTTGGTGTTTATTTCTGGTCGTAGCCACTGATGACAGAGTTCCTTCAGTCGACTCAGTGCCTCTCGAGGCCCAAAAGTGTTCTGGTAACAGAAGCGCCTAAAACGCTGGCGGAAAATCTCTGGGTCGGGAGGTGGCGTCTCCTGCAGGGTGGAATCCTGACCCCACATGTGGTCTTCCTCATCTTCCTCTTCTACCTTCACAATGACGATGCCATCCTTCTCCTGTGCAGCCTGCGGGGACAGACCCGTGGCTTCCCTTGACTCAGCAGTCATCGTTCAGGCTAAGGGAACTGACGTGATCCAAATGGGGTCTGGGTCTGTGCTGGCCTCTCTGGCTAGAGGTTTTAGATCTGTTTCTGTACTGTTCCTGAAGTATTAAAAAAAATTATTAGTGGCTTTACAAAAAGTGACTTGTGGTGCTAGTGCTACACATCAAGGAAGCAAGAATGCCTTGGAATAAAAATCAGTGCTCTAGTGTCTCCCCGTCACTTCATGTGCTAAAAGAAACCTCAAACAGGTAACCTCCAGCCGCAGGGTGTTAGCTGGAGCCACAGCAACTTGCCTCCAGGTGTACAGCAGGGTTACAAGATGGTGTATGGTGTTTAGTGCTCAGCCTAGTAAGAGCTTCATCTGCTGGGCATTAAGCACCAGGCTGAGTGCAGTACATGTACATTCTTTTTCCTACAACCACCCTAGTGAGTGGGAAGAGCTGCTAGTGCCACATTAGAGATGATGTAAGTGAGCCATGGATGGCTTAAGCAATTCATTCAGGAGCAGATGACTACCGTAGAAGCCAACACTCAAGCAAAATTTGAAGGACTTGCTAATGTGTCATTTACCTACTTTTCTTATTTTTAGGGTGTCTTGGGCAGTCTAAAGATGTGGTTTCCAAAGTGCAAGGCAGTGCTCCAGGGATAATGAAACAATACAGCTGAATGTGTTTTAAAAGTGAAAGAAATTAAGTCCTCACCTGGTCTGTGTCTTGAACTGTAAGGTCATATCAGCTATTATCAGGGGGAAGAGTGCAAGCATGCCCCACATTCACTTCCAGACAGAGATGTACCCTGGTTTAGCTGTGCCCAGATAAGTTAAATAGTGGATTATTCTACCTAGCTTTATCTAATCTCGGCCTTCATAAACAAGGCCAGCAGCTAAAAGATTCTTGCAGAGATAATCAGAGGAAATACAGATGACGCACATGAGTAGACAACAATGAAAAGGCAGAGCAGGAGTTTCTCTTGAGAACAAGGTCTTAGCCAGGTTAGGAGGTGAAAACCAATGTCCCTCTACAAAGTCGCCATAGAGGTCATCTGAGAAATTAAAACAACACTGAGATTCCATCGCACCCCAGAAAGAACGGCTATCAAGAAATCAGAAACAAATGCTGGCGGTGCTGTGGGGAAAAGGGAACACTTCTCCACTGCTGGTTAGAGTGTAGACTGGTGCAATCAGTGTGAAGATTCCTCAGAAACTATGATTAGAGGTTCCACTCGACCCAGGTAGTCCCCTTCTGGGTGTTTTCCAAAAATAACTACAATATCAATCCTATGGCAATATGCACACCCATGTTTGTAGCAGTATAATTTATCCTAGAAACAACCCAAATGCCCGTCAACCAAAGAAGGATAAACATGATGTGGTATTTCTTTCTCTTTTTTTTTTTTTGTCTTTTTATTGGTACCGGGGATTAACTCATGACTGCCTGCTTGCAAGGCAGGCACTTATGCCGCTGAGCTAAATCTTCAGCCCCGGTATTTCTTTTTTTCTAGAACTGGGAACTGAACTCAGGATCTCATGCTTGCCAGGCAAGTGCTGAGCTGCTGAGCTATACTCTCGGCCCCATGGTGTGATACTGCTCAGCTATAAAGAGTACTACTCAGCTATACAACAGAGTACTACTCAGCTATAAAGGAGGATTAAAAATTGAGGCTTTTATAGATAAATGGATGCAGCTTGAGACCATACTCACAAGTGAAATAAATCAGAGTCGCATGTATTGTGTCCCTAGTGTTAGAAAGTCAGAGTAAGATCGATCCAAACTGTACAATGAACACCGTGTAAGAGAAAGAAACTGCTCAAAAGGAAAGAACTAGTAGGATGGGAGAAAGGAGAAATGAAGGGAAAGATAGCTAAGATAATTATACTACTAGATTTTTTTTTTTTAGTTCAGTGCAGAGAATGTTTTGTGCTTATATCGTTTGATCAATTTTGTCTGCCTGTAACTCATAATCTGAGCAACTACTTTGAAGATAACAATATGCAATATATTAACCACTGTTAATTCCCTATTATATTGTTATGAAATTCTGTGTCACTGTGTTTTTCACTTCAAAAAACAAACAAAAAGACACCAAAGAGGGGCTGGGGATTTAGCTCAGTGGCATAAGCGCCTTCCTTGCAAGTGTGCGGTCGTGAGTTGGATCCCTGGTACCGATAAAAACGAAAAAGACAAAAAAAAAAAAAGACACCAAAGAGTGAGCAAGCTGCTGGCTTAAAAAATAGTGAGGAAATAGCAATTACAAATGATACAAGAGTTTTCATCATTATGTAGTTCTTACTGCCAAAAAGGGACTGTAATATTTCCCTTAGAAAAACCCTTATATGTACAGTCTTTAAACAGGAACTGTTTTCTAGCAATTAAAAATTTTCCAAATGAGAAACAAATGGGTTCTCACCTTATTAAAAAGTTTTTGCACATCCAAAGAAATCACCAACAGAGTGAAAACTCACAGATTGGGAAAAGACTTTAGCCAACTGTCACTCTGATAAAGGATTTCTTTCTACAATGTATGAAGAACTTACCCCCACCCCCGCAATTCTAAGACTCAATCCAAAAACGGGCATCTGAGATGAATACACAATTCTCAGATGAAGAAACATAAATGGCAAATAAATTTGTCAAAAATGTTCCACATCACTGGTCATTCAAGAAATGCAAATTAAAACACTGAGACACCATTTCAGTCCAGAAAGAATGGTTATCATCAAGAAATCAACGAATAAGAAACACTGGAGGGGCTGTGGGGGAAAAAAGGAACCGTTCTCCATTGTTGGTGGGAGTGTTGACTGGTATAACCACTGTGGAAATCACTGGAGATTCCTTTAAAAACTAGAATTAGAGGCTCCATTCCACCCAGCCATTCCCCTTCTGGGTTATTTTTTCAGAATTGAAAACATCCTATCACAGTGAGATATGTGCACCCATGTTTATAGCAGCATGATTTATGGGGTTTTTTTTTTTTTTGTCTTTTTCATTTTTATTGGTACTGGGGATCGAACTCACGACTGCCTGCTTGCAAGGCAGGTACTTATGCCGCTGAGCTAAATCCCCAGCCCCATCAGCATAATTTATAATAGCTAAATCTTGGAACACAAATGCCCATCAACTGTGGGATGGATAAAAGAGATATGGTGTTTTTATACAATGGGGTACTACTCACCTACAAAAGAAGGATAAACTCAAGGCTTTTGTAAGTAAATGGATACAACTACAGATCATCTCATAAGTAAAATTAAATCAGACTCACAACAGTTTTGTCTTGCTGCAGTAAGAGACTGAAAGTAAGATCGATCCAAAAGTTACAACAGAAGCTGGGCCTGGTAGCACACATAATCCCAGCACTCAGGAGGCTAAGACAGAACTGTTGCAAGAGTCTGAGGCCTGCCTGGACTAGAAGTGAGTTCAAGGCCAGGGAGAAGTGCAGTGAAACCCTGTCTCAAAAAGGCAAAACAAAAGTTACAATAGATACAGTGAAAGGGAATTGCTCAAAGGGAAATCATAGTTTCACCAATTTTGCATGCTTGTATCTGGTAACATGGACAACTGTTCTGAAGATAACAGTATGTAATATAATAACAATTGTTAAATTCCTACCATCTTATTTTGAAATCCTGTACCACTGTTTTGTTGCTGTTGTCCTCACTGTTTGGCTTTTGTTATGTTTGTTTGATTGCTTTTTTTCTGTATTTTTTTCCTCTCAAAACAAAAAACAAAAAACAAAAAAACCCAAATGAAGAATTTTAAGCCTGTTTAAAAACAAGACAAAAAAATTAACTGTCTTGTTTGTTTGTCAGAGCTGGTGATTCAAATTCAGGAAAAATAAAAGTTTCAGTCACAAATATTGCACGTGCAAGCGGCTCACGAGTTCCTGAATTGAACTGACAACACAATTATTCCATGTGAATTTTTAAATCTTTGTGATGCATTCGTTTTACCTTTACAGCTTTTAAGTCTCAAGTTGATGTTTTAGAAACAAACCATCCAATTCCTGTATTGCAGTTTTAGACTAGCAAAGTATTTTTTACTTTTTTTTTCCCTAGTGCTATGGCTCAAACCCAAGGCTTTGAACCTGCTAGGCCAGCACTCTGTTATTGAATGACATCCCTGTCCTCTAGCAAAATTTTTTTTTCAAGCAAAGTATTTTTAATTACATGGTTTCCCTTTTAAAAAATTAGTAACTTAATGGAAAATGGATCTTGTAAATTAAACAATACAAAATTCAGTAGTATAATACTGTATTTTTTATTGTACAAATATTAGAATAGTATGCTTGTAATATTTATGAAAAGTTGTTTTTTACTAATAGGAATGTACAGTAGGATTCTTTATCTGTTGTTTCATTTTCTGTGGTTCGGGATACCTGCAGTCAAGTGTAGTCTGAAAATACTAAATGGAAAATTCCAGAAATAATTCGTTAAGCTTGTTGCTTGTTTTTTTGAGATAGGATCTTGCTATGTAGTCCAGGCTGGCCTTGAATTCAGTATGTAGCCCAGCATGACTTCAAACACAATCCTTCTGTCTCAGCTATCAGAGTGCTGGGATTAATGCATGTACCACCTCACTCAACTTCTTACTAAGTTTTAAATGTTTATTACAGTATAACTTCTATTTTATTTTGTTATTGTTAATTTCTTACTGTACCTAATACTCAAATTGAATTTTATCATATATTATGTATATGTAACGAAGGAAAAAAAATACAGGGCATAGTTCTATCTGTGGTTTCAGGCATCTTTGGAATGTCCTGAAACAGATTCTCTGAGCATGAGGGGAAGAGAGGAGGGACACTGTATGTATGGTTTTAATCACAAAAATTATTATTTTAATCCAAAATTTATTGCAGGATTACTGTTTCTAGTTTGTTTTTGTATCCTTAATGAAAAATAGAAATTCCTATTAAAAATAATGCTCTATAATAAAAATAATGAACAGTACAATAAAAAAGAGCTTTCCTCATAAAGGAAACCTTGTAATTAAATTGTTCCTTTCCTGATTTCAAAGTGGTAAATGTTTTACCGTAAACCACATCTATGAAGGCAAATGGATGTACCTTGAGACCGTAATATTAAGTGAAATAAATCAGACAC